ATTGAGTTCCAACTAAAGCAAGTTCTCTAGTTTCCCTTGATATAGAAAGGCAGAGAAGGTGTAGTGATGTTTAAGGAGCAGAGTTCCTCTGTTTGTCTTCCTTAACAGCGACCTGTGAAAGACTAGGCCTCTTCTGGTAGGTAGGAGCAATGAGAGTTACTTATCTCGAAGCAAATGTGGATTGTCTGCAGAGAAGCTATTAAGATTATGAAAGTCCTTTGGGTTCCATAAAAAAGTAAATAAAAGGTCCCCAAAAAGAGGTTGCTGCGGAGTGGGAACAGTCTATAAACTTTGGAATCTTTTTGTAATTTTGCTGTATATAGAGTGCTGTTCTTCTGCTTTTTGCATGTAGATGGAAACACCATTATGATCAGTTGATCTGACTGTTAAGCACCAATGTTGACACCACCATCATTGGAAAAGAGTTTTTTCTTGGGTAGAAAAAAAATCGTATTTCTAGCATCAGCTTCCTGCACCTGGGTTGTGTTTTATTCTGGCTTCTAAATGTGAGGTCCTCCTCTCAAGTGTATTTTCCCTGTATAGTCAAGTCGAGCACTCTTTGAACTCTTTCAGCTGTAAGCCTGCCTGAGCTCCTAGAACTCTCATATAATGATTTATTTTATTTCTTCAGTTATTCCTATACTCTTACACTCACAATCACTGCCAGTTCTCTGATAGTTAACAATCTAATAGAAATCAAGCCTTTTGAGGACTGTTCATCGGTATTGAGCATTACAATGATGAATATTGAAGTGTGACTCTGTGTAATAACTATTGTTAACTTGTGACCCATATCAAAACTTGGAAATGCCTTTCTGAAGTCTTGTTGCTAAAATAGGTAGCATGTTTAAATACTTGAACAGTATCAGATTGTCCTTTAACATACTTTATCAGCTTTTCAACAGTAGTAAGATCTGCAGTGCGTCTTTCCAGCCACAGTATAACTTGGCTCAAAAATGATCACTTCCTGCTTTCCACTTACTGCTATTAAATTGTCTGAATCTAATGTGGTTTAGGTTTGGCTGCCAGGTTTATTTTTTGTCTTGGAGTTATATATTTCCCCTGTATCCCACCCTTACTGAATGGCATTTTAGTCTGACACCCTTGCTATTGAAGTGATCTTTCCTGTTATGAGTGCTATTTTTAACAGCTACTGTGTAAATTCTAATTGTTTATTAAATTTTGGACTAGAAATAGAAGAAAAGCTTCTATAGGTATGTCGGTGATAAAAGGAAGACGATGGAAAATGTGGGCCCCCTCTGGAAGGAAACGGGAGACCCGTTACCCGGGATATGGAGAAGGCTGAGGTACTCAATGACTTTTTTGCCTCAATCTTCACCAGGAAGCACTCAAGCCTCACTGCCCAAGCCACAGAAGGCAAAGGCAGGGACTGGGAGAATGACGAGCTGCCCATTGTGGGAGAACATCAGATTTGAGACCATCTAAGGCACCTGAAGGTGCACAAGTCCATGGGACCTGATGAGAGATGCATCCAGGTCCTGAGGGAACGGGCGGATGAAGTTGCTAAGCCACTATTCATCGTATTTCAGAAGTCGTGGCAGGTTGGTGAAGTTCCCACTGACTGGAAAAGGGGAAACATAACCCTCACTTTTAGACAGTGAGAAAAGGAAGACCTGGGGAACTACAGGCTGGTCAGTCTCACCTCTGTGCCCAGCACGATCATGGAGCAGATCCTCCTGGAAACTATGCTAAGGCACATGGAAAATAAGGAGGTGATTGGTGACAGCCAACATGGTTTCACTAAGGGCAAATCGTGCCTGACAAATCTGGTGGCCTTCTATGATGGGGTTACAGCGTTGGTGGAAAAGGGAAGAGCAACTGATGTCATCTACCTGGACTTTGCAAGGCATTTGACACTGTCCCGCACGACATCCTTGTCTCTCTAAATGGGAGAGACATGGATTTGATGGGTGGACCAGTTGGTGGATAAGGAATTGGCTGGATGGTCACACTCAAAGAGTTGCAGTCAACGGCTTGATGTCCAAGTGGAGACCAGTGACGAGGGGCGTTCCTCGGGTTGGTATTGGGACTGGCACTGTTTAACATCTTTGGTGACAGGGACAGTGGGATTGAGTGCACTCTCAGCAAGTTTGCTGTTGACATCAAGCTGTGTGGTGCAGTTGACACGCTGAGGGGAAGGGATGCCATCCAGAAGGATCTTGACAGGCTTGAGAGGCGGGCCCATGCGAACCTCATGAAGTTCAACAAGGCCAAGTGTGAGGTCCTGCACATGGGTCGGGGCAATCCCAAACACAAATACAGGCTGGGCAGAGAATGGATTGAGAACAGCCCTGAGAAGGACTTGAGGGTGTTGGCTGATGAGAAGCTCAACATGAGCCAGCAATGTGCACTTTCAGCCCAGAAAGCCGACTGTATCCCGGGCTGCATCAAAAGAAGCGTGGCCAGCAGGTTGAGGGAGGTGATTCTGCCCCTCTACTCCACTCTTGTGAGACCCCAGCTGGAGTACTGTGTCCAGCTCTGGGGCCCCCAACATAAGAAGGACATGGACCTGTTGGAGCGAGTCTAGAGGAGGGCCATGAAGATGATCGGAGGGCTGGAGCACCTCTCCTATGAAGACAGGCTGAGAGAGTTTGGGTTGCTTAGCCTGGAGAAGAGAAGGCTTCGGGGAGACCTTATAGCAGCCTTCCAGTACCTGAAGGGGGTCTACAAGAAAGCTGGAGAGGGGACTTTTTACAAGGGCATGTAGCGATAGGACAAGGGGTAGTGGCTTTAAACTGAAAGAGGGTAGATTTAGATTAGATATAAGGAAGAAACTCCTCACTGTGAGGGTGGTGAGGCACTGGAACAGGTTGTCCAGAGAAGCTGTGGATGCCCCCTCCCTGGAAGTGCTCAAGGCCAGGCTGGACGGGGCTTTGAGCAACCTGGTCTAGTGGAAGGTGTCCCTGCCCATGCAGGGGCATGGGAACTAGATGATCTTTAAGGCCCCTTCCAACCCAAACCAGTCTATGATTGAGTCATAAAAGCCAAAGAAACCTAAAATTGCAGTGGTGGCTGTATGCAGTCACTTCATGCACCTGTGACTGCAAACATGCATTTGTAACATGTTCTGGAGGTGTGTTTGTAAGTCTTACTCTTCCGACAGTTTATACGCTTGCCTTTTGGTGGATTTAGTTTTGTGGCTCTTCCATGTGAAGCTGCCATCTCAGTCCCACTAGAGGGCATCTCTTCCCTTAGTACATGCTTATGCTGCCTGATTTCAAGGGAATCCATTTTAAAGATTGAGTTGCATCGAGGAGTTAATAGATAAGTAGCCGTGTGACAGACTTTTGCATGTTAAAGTTGGGTTGTTTTCCAAAACTGATTAGTCTTTTAGCAGTGTTGCTCTTGTTGCCAGGACTTGTTCCAACTGTGACATTTGTAAATGACAGTTGGAAGTAGAGAGTAAACTGCAAGATCTTTTGTATGGTGTGGTTTTTTGGTAAAGTAAAGTATGCTCTGGTCACATTTACTGTACAGGAGAACAGACAGATGCTTTTACTCCTCTCCTTGGCGCTAACTTTTTTATACAGCAGATCATCCCCCTACTAAAATGGCCGATGTTATTGCCTGACATTTTTTTCCTGTGCAAATTGTGTGTGGGTCACCACTATTGCAGGTCTATGGAAACAGCTCTAACCTTTCTTTATTGCTGTTCAAAAAGAGCAATTGGTACTTTTATACAGTTCAGCTGGGGCTGAATGGTGGTTATCTGTTCACTGGGGACTGTGGCTGTGTCAAGTCCATCCTAATTTATCTTCTGACTGCTGGTTACTAAGAGGTTACATTCACCGATTACATAAAAGTAGTATTGCCAGACTTGGGACAGCAATGTTCAGTCATTCTATAGGCTGGCATGACTCTATTTTAGTAATTAACTCCCCAGTATAAGTCCCTTAAGGGGCTGTTATTTGTCTAGGGCTTGGCTGGCAGAAGGGTAGGCTTGTAGCAACAAGTTACTGGGAGATGCCACCTTGTGCTGCACCGGATTTATTGTTTACAACATGAAATAAAGTGAGGTTGCAGGATGTGTTCGCAAGTTTTTGGAGAGGTGTTGTGAATGGTCTTGTGGGAGGTATGAGCTGTTTTGGCAGAAGAGAGATGAAGTTTTCTCTGAGCTTACAACAGCCAAGAACTCCTTGGGCACGGAAGCTGTGACTGCTTACACAGCCAGCCTGTGTGATTTCTTTCCATTATGAAAAGTTATTTTGGTGAAACTGGAAATACTTTATTCACTATCTAGAACATCATAAACTTTGTCTATTTCTGGTGTGATTCATTTCAGGACTTGCCTCAGTTGACAAAATGTTTGCTTTATCTGAATATAGACACTAATGGGGTGAGGAATGTTACAAATCACTCGGAATAAAATTTTCAAAGGAGAAATGTATTTAGCACTCTTTCAGGAAGAAAAACTCCGCGTAGACTTTTTCTCCTTTAATACATAGTGTAATACAGGGCTGGGGGGGTAGAGGAAGATCTAGCTGTGTGACAGAGGCAGTATGCACCAACAAGAATAACTGTTCAGAAGTTACCTGTGTTGAGTTAATGTTTTCTTCTGTGTTTTTTTAATAGTCCAGGTCAAGAGGGAGTTATGTTCTCAGAACTTAAGCTGAGGTATCTAGTGTTTCTGAGAGCTTAAAAAGTAGATGTTTTACAACTGAGCAAGGTTATGTCAGATTTCTGCTTCAAATCCACATCTGCAAAAGATAATATTTGGTTCTAGTGTCTTAAAATTGTATTTTGGTGTTTTTTTAACATGCAGTTTGGATTTGGAAGGTACAGTAGTCTCTCAAGGGAATATAAATTTAGTTGGGGAGATGTACTAGTAGTAGTAGATTTGAGATACCAGAACATTTGGAGGGCACATAGCATAATTAAGAATAATTGGATAGTTAAAACCCTTTTCAAGCATAGTCTTAATATTCTGTAATGTCATGTACGCTCAGAAAGCTGTGCATATGTAAAGTACTGCATGTTCTCATAAATAAATATGTTCAATAGCCTGTTTTGTAAAAGTTCGGGGAGGGGGGAAAAAAGCCCTGCATTAGATAGATGTTTAATATTACAGTGAACTTAAAAGTGTAGTTTGACTTTTTTCCTAGCGTTTTCTTTAAGTCTTTTCAAAATAACTCTTAGGCTTCATTGTCATGCAGGAAAGATTGCTTTATTGGAAGCTCACACTCCTGATAGTTAGATAGATTGTTTAATATTACAGTGAACTCAAAAGTGTAGTTTGACTTTTTTCCTAGAGCGTTTTCTTTAAGTCTTTTCAAAATAACTCTTAGGCTTCATTGTCATGCAGGAAAGATTGCTTTATTGGAAGCTCACACTCCTGATAGTTTGTCTATTCATACTTGTTTTAAATTTTTGGTGAGGTGAATTGGATGGCTGAATGACTAATGCTTATACTGGACCATTTTCAAGTTGGTGGTGGTTCTTTCCTAGTTTCTCTGAAACCCAATCTTGGTTAGAGTTGGGTAGTAAACCAAAAGAACCTGTGCAATGCCAACTTTGAGTTTCTTTCATCATAATTTCAGTCTTCTCCTTAATGTACCAGCATATAGAGTTTATTCTAGAATCACTTGGGAGCGAGAACAGCAGCTCCATGGTAGTAAAATATGTCAATGTCCAGCTCTCTCGCAGAATCGTATAGCTCACTTGTGCATATAGTTACTTTTTGGGGCTATGCTGGCAGCTTTTGTAGTCTTAAATCTCCCAGAATAATTGGCAAAGCTTCCTTTTTCCTTTCAATAAAGTAGTGCCTATTTTTACAAGAATTGAATGCTGCCCTTGTTCTCCAATGCTTTGAAGAGTTTTTGTGGAATGTTTCCCCCATGATAATTTTCCTGTTAAACTTTATAACAGAAAATTGGAATGTGCTTGTACTTTATTTTATTCTTTCGCCTTGGGCTTATGTAAACTGGTCTCGGTGATTATGTACGTTTTTTCCATCTTTAGTGCACAGTGCTGTGGTAAACAGTCTTTCCTTTCACCCCTCTGGAAACTATCTGGTTACTGCTTCCAATGATTCAACTCTTAAAATACTGGACTTGCTAGAAGGAAGACTTCTGTATACCCTTCATGGTCACCAGGTGAGACAAAGCCTTTTATACAGTAACATACAAACCCGTAACAAACTAGCCAAATTTGTGCTTGAGCCTTTCATTCTTCATGACCAAAAAATCTTTTGAGAACTTCCTTACATAAAACGATGACGATAGTACTAGTAATAATTTTTGAGATCATGACTGTTTTGAAGGGAAGGCCTATAGAGAGGGAAGGATGTAAGGCAGGAATGGAGAGGATGAGAAAACAAGGCAGAAAGGGAGCTCCAGTACTGAGGGTGCAAGCCTAAGTCCTAAGGGGCACAGTCGGAGCTGCACCCCAGACTCTAATCCTGGGTCTGTCGTGCACTCTGTACCACAGCTCTGACTCCCTCTCTAGAGTGGTGCAAATAACACTTGGCCCCCTGACTTAAGTGTTATGAAGATAAATCACCTGACAGGAGACTTAGGGACAGTAGTGGTAAAATGGAGGAAATATATTTTGCGATGTGATTTGGGAACATGTTTCCATTTTGTTAACAGTCTGAATTAAATAATTGAAGGTGATAAATGCTGCTGGTTGGTTAAGTTTAACTGATTGGCCTATTAGTATTATGCTGCTGGATGTGTTGCTTGTAAGGTTAATTATATGAATGCTTGGAGCTCTCTTTTTAAATGTTAAATGAAAATAAACAGACTAATTTCATTGTCCATGCTGAGTGGGGCTCAAAGGCATGAAAAAGCAGACCTGCTTTAAAGGTTCCCTTTCCAAAGGGACGAAGAAAACAGAAATTCTTAACCCACTTGTCCCTCTGTTAAACTGGGGGCTGAGTCTTAAAGCATCAAAACTAGCTGGGGAAAAATCACTGCCTGAAGCTGTTGGGGGTGGTGGAGATGGTTCTGGGCAATGATGATAGCCATGTAAGCTGCAAAACTGATAATTCAGGCTTGTGGCTTTAGTTTAGTGACTGCCTTGTCTGATGTATAAAAAGGTCGTTTGTTCTGTAACTTCTGTTATACTATGTGTTAATAAACTTTTCTCCTTTTTTTGTAATATTAATGGGAAAATAGGACAACCTCATACTTAAAGCTCTACTTCATGGGAAGATCTGATTAAAACTGACCAAAGGGTTCAAATGCTGAAAAGAATGAGGGAAAGATAATAAATGCTGGCTATCCTAACATGTAAACCTCGACTGCATAAAACTTTCTTACTTTGACTAAGTAAGAAAAAAACTGGATTAAACTGGACTAAGTGGGTACCCCTATTGATAGGGGCTGCAAAGCTTCTAGCTGTTGTCCTAATCTCCTTTTTCATATTTCTTTCGTGTTAGTTGATCAAGTGAGTGCTTAGGAAGTAGCTTTCTGGAAAAGGGTAAATGTGGAGGGACAGTGGATCTTTGCACCTCTCATCCTTGCCTCAGGAAGGGATGTGCCTGCTTATTGTTCTAGGCTGCTCCTCCATGAGTGCAGTGGCACAAAAAGTTTTGCTTTGAATGAGAGTCCAAAACTGATTATGGTGATGGAGGTCTTCGGAATTAGACAATAGAAAGTCCCTTTAGGCTGATGGTGTAATTAACTCAGGGCTTCTACAGAACAGTTGGTTTGTGAATCATCTGTTCAGAAGTAGAGTTAAAGTTCCATATTATTCCTGCCCCCTCCCCCCCCCCTTTCAGATCAGTTAGATGTCTGCCATGCTTTCCTAGGCATCTAACTGACATCGGAAATGCTTTGACACTGGCACAGCTGAAGGGTAGTTGCCATTGTGGGATTACACCTCCTTCAGTTCGGAAACAAGTAGAAGTATAAAAGTGGCTGGTAGTGCTTTCTGGTGGTCTTCAAGGGTATTGCACTGAGATAGCTGTGGAACCAGTCCTGGCACAGCCTTGGGCAGGTATTCCCTCTGCTGGCTGGCATGTGCTGTATTGTTGTGGGTTGATTCTTTTAATGTCTGATTTAACAGATACCTTGCTTTTCCACTAAAAGTATATGATAACCTGTGCTTCATTCGCAGTAAGCAACTGGCAGTGACAACAGGCCCTGCTTTCATCAGAAGCTGTTGGGGTGGATTCCTGCACCGGTGGCTGCTTCTCTAGCCTGCTCTGCTCATAGATAAACCCAGGCTGCTTAATACTGAGGGCTTTTTTTCTTCCCCTCCAGCCTCGCTGTGATTTCTGCCAGTATCTCCAAGCGGCTAAAAATGGAGTGGGTGTGGATTTTTTGGTCATTAAGTAGATTTGCCTTTTTAAGTGAGGGCTATAGGTTAGTCACCAAATGAACAGCCTGTTATGAAGACATTCTTGAGTTGTGACTTTGTGTGGGTGAATATGCTGGTTGAGACTTTGTTCTTACTCTGACAGCTGACTGCTGTTATGTTGTTCTGGGAAGGCAGCATGCGAATGGACACTTGAAGGAAAAAAAGGGCCTTTAGACATACTTTGACGCAACTGCTGGAGTGCCAGGAATTTGTTAGCAGCTGATTAGCTGTAGTTTACATAGGGAGGATTGCCAAGTTTACATTGTCTTTAATTGTAATGTAGCTGTCCCCCTTGTAGCAGAAGGATCGTTAGAGGCAGGAGTCTGTGGCTTGGAGCTGACATCTTGCAGCTGCAAAATATCATTCTGTATTGTGCTGCGTATTTTAATTCTGGAGTGCTTCAAACTGTGAAGTATTCTTGCCTAATACCATACAGATGAGATACCAGGTTGGTATGTAGGTCCACCTCTGGTGCTGAATCATCCTCAAGGAACAGAATGTTTTGGGGCCTGTAAGTCACCTCTGGAGAGTTGCTAGAGGAGAGCAGGTATGTACACAGTGCCTGTCTGTCCTTTGGGGTGATTTGATTAGAGCATTTCCAGACTGACTTCCTTAATGGAATGGAAGTTCTCAGTAAATATTTAGGAAACATCTGCATGGTTATGTTTATAAATAGGAAGACAGAAAATGCAAAGTTATGTTTCCCCAAGCAACCTTGACTTGAACCATGAAGTAGCTGTGTTCCACTTACCTAGGTGGCATAAGTGCTCTCTGCTCTGCTGGCTGACTAAAGAGCAAGATCTGAGCAGGTGCACAAGAAACAAATGTGCTCCTTTACTGTCTGTTGCCAGCTCTACCTAGTGACATTAAACATCCGTGCAGGCCTGGTCGTCTTTGAAAGGTGTGAGGACATCTCAGGGCTGCACAGACCTGGACCACTAAAGAGAGGGAAAGGGTGTGTTGCTAACAACAAGCAATTTATTTTAGATTAGTGTTTCTGAGTATTAAAAGGAAATATGAGTGCTCTATTCTTCCCTTGTATTTTTTCTTTTAAACTGAAGCTTTCAGGAGTTAAAAAGCTACTGAAGATTCAATTATAAGGTGCCAGTATAAATTTTCCCTATGTTTGCTGTAGCCCTTACTCCCTGGTGAAGGAAGGTGCAGGCATGACAGTCTTGCTCTGTGTAGAGATACAAGAGTCTTTCAAAGCTCAGTGGACTGAGAATCCTTGTGACTTCTTGTCAGAGGTATTCTGCATGAAAACATCCCTCGTTGCCATTGCCATCTCTGTCTCATGTGCTTTTCTCCTTGGCTCCCTTTCACTCTCCCTTTCTCTCCTTTGCTATCACCCCCATTGTGCAGTTTCTAGGAATCTGCCCTTCTTATCTAAACACTTTCCTTGTCCTTATCATTACAGATGTAGATTCTTTCCACTCCATCCCCACTTGAGGACAATACTCAGCTCTGTCCTGTACCTCTTGATTTGCCAGCGTGCAATGCCTGTGGTGACACTTCTTCCTCTCTCCGCATTGTCTTTGGTGTATCTGTGTTGTTTGTAAAAAGACAACAAACATCCATGGCTTTCATAGTTTTATTTTCCCCAGCTCTTGCCTCTTTCTAAGACTTGGATTTTCCTGTCTGATGCTTCTTCTGCAGGATATGTGCTGCATCCTGTACCAGATTGTGAGACAAGTGTCTAACTGTCACCTGTCTTGCCTCTTGTATTTCTTCCTGCCTCTGTCTTTGAATTCAGAGTTCTTTTCCTACTATGTATCCCGCTATTGTCTTTCACCTTTTTTGATGAGATTGACTAGATCTTCATAGCTGTGGGTTTCCTTGCTGCAAGTTCATAATTGATCCTGAGATACAGGCTAAATGCTTCTGCCTTACCAAAAGGTCTGTTAATTTGAATGGGTCTTCACTGAACTCTCTTCACTGCTTTATCTGCTGCTGAAACCAAGTGATAGGTGAAAGACACGACACCAGCATCTTGTCTCAGGCCTTCTATGTTCTTTGGCACTTGAATGCATTTATCAAGTTTCTTACTTGCTCTTGGTGTGTTCCTAATTGTCTTGATCACTTATTCTTTGCATCTTTTGCTCCTCTACCGTCTGTCACTTCAGTATCCATCTGTCCATGTGCCATGAAGCAGTTGAAAGCACTGTGAACAGTGGCAATGACTGCTCTGTTTATTTCTTTTATGCCTTGAACTGATGATCCCAGCGTGCTTGTTGCTGCCTCTGATTTGCTTCTCGGACCTCATCACTTCTCTCTCTTTTTTTTCTCTTTGCACTAGTTAATCTATTCCAGAAGAGTTTGACTGAATGTACTGGCTTGTATCTTCCCACTTCTACATCCCCTTTTGTGGGCAGCGGAAGAGGAAGCTTTCCTTTAATTCAACTATTCACATCCTCTAGATATGCCTTGTTCCAGCTCTTGGCACCTCCCTCTTATCTGGCGCTTCTCGTATGCATTAGTTTCTCCCAGGATTTAAAAAAAAAAAAAAAATCTACTGGCATCCTTGACCTCACTTGTCTTTCCAGCTACCTTCCCCTCTGCTTCTCTTCTCATTGTGCAGATGTGCATCATTAAACTACTCTCCTCTAGTTTATTCCTGGACCCTCTCCAGCCTGGCTCATGTTTCTTTTGTTATGCTGAAGCCAAAATGTTAGCTCTGTTCCTAGCTGAAGCTCGTAAGTCTGGCCTTTCTTGACTTGAAGTGACTGTTGGTATTGGCCCTGCTGTTCTTGAAATTGTGCACCTTCTGTCCTCCAGCAGTTCTATGGGGGAG